AGGGACCCAGCTGCTCAGCCCCAGGTGTCTGGGCTCCTGCGCCCCCGGAGGGCCCTGGGACCCGCCGAGGCCGGCACTTCCGGAGGGGGAGGGGAGGGCGGAAGGAAAGGGATCCCCACCCCACCCCCGGGCAGGTGTCTCACGTCTTAGAATCGTGGCGGTGACCGCAGGGTGTTTGGAAACTTGCCTTCAGTTTCCTGAGTCTCCCTCTACCTGCGCCCAGATCTTGATTATCGGAAAGGAAACGGATACAAATGGAAGAAAGCGCATGTGGAAGGGAGTCTGTGTGCTGCCTGGAAGGAACCCACAGGGACCCGGTTCAGGTTCAGGCTCAGTGACTGGCCGGCCTTGCCCCTGACCCAGACCCAGACCCGAGCCCACTGAGAGGGCAGGCTGGGCGAGGCTCAGTGAATTTGGACGAAACCTGACCAAATGCCCAGAATAACTGCTGTTTTTACTGTAACCAAGGCAACAAGATACCACGGGGTTCACAGACAGTGGATCAGCCTAGGAACGCTGAAAGTGTAAGAGAAAATATTTCCAAAATTCCACTACTTCTAAAAGCTGGATGTAGAACTGAAAACATCTGCCAGGGTGCACTGTCCACCTTATCTCCTGTGTTAAGGCCAACTCCAGGGCATGCAGACCTTTCAGAGTTGCGGTTGACTTCTCCTCCTGATGGGCAGCACAGCAGCCCTTGGGAGACAGGCATGAGGTGCCTTAGGTCTGGGGTCCGTGGTCTCCAGAAAAGCATCTGAGTGCCCGTGGGCACCAAAGGGGCTGATGGTGAGTCAGCAGGTGCAGCTGCTGAATGAACTGAATGAACTTGACTCACGGTGCCAAACCTCCACCAACCACTGATAAACAGCAGCAGGGTTGCGCCACATGGGCCTGGAGACCTTAGTCCCTGTGAGGCCAAATCCCATAGTCAGGGAGAGAAAAGTACAAGACGCCAGCCAGGTCTCCTGAGAACCAGACTGGCCACGTCGACTCGGGGTTCATGGGAAAGCGGACAGCCCCTCTAGGTAAACGGCTAGGAGACGTATACAGAGGAGTGGGCAAAAGCAGGCTTACAGCTGTTCGTGTGGAAAATAATACAACTAACAACAGTACAAGGGTAAACTGTTACACATGCCCACAACTGTAAAAGAGTGTATAAGACATAATACGTTGTTAAAGTCTTATATGTCAGGGGCTGTTTCCCACACATCATCTCCTCACCACGCATGAGACACCATTGCAGCCCATGCTAGTTACTGAAAGATCAACATTCTTTTCTCTAACCTACTAAACTTCTGTTTTAATGTAAGCCCATTTCCTTGTGCAGATTTTAGTAAAGTTCTGGAAAAGCAGATCAGTATCTCTTCATAAACACACACCTCAGTAACAATGAGAGTGTTTCGTGTAACAGCTGCCTTACGGTTTCCTCTCTGTTCAGTCGTCACTCTCTCACGTTGGTCACCTTTCTGTGAGCTCGCACTAGGTTTTCACCCTTTCCATGATCACTCTAACGCAGCCTTGAACTTCAGAAAACAAGAAACAAAGTGAACAGAGCCTTCCTGGTTCAAGGGGCAGCTGAGTCTGAGTTCCTGGAGCAGATAAGGTCAGGTTGCTGGGAGTGAGGACTCGGGGTGTTTGGGCGGAGAGAGAAGGGCAGGGAAAATACTGACCTAACCCAGCTGGAGAGCAAGGCCTTGAGCCAGGCCAGATCCACCACCCAGCCCCCAGAAGCTCCCGATGGGCACTGAGGCCAACACAAAACTCCTCGGGAATGTGGGGAAGCCAGTCAAATGACCAAGTGACACACTGTTACCCTTAACAAGAGCCCAGGGTCTCCAGCCTTGAGCTTAATATTGCAAATGCCAACATTTTAATCCAGATGAAAGGAAACATTGGTGCCAAACTGCAGTCACATATTTATAACTTATAATTCCCTCCATAAAGTGTTACAGGCATCGTGCCAATGTTTACCTTCAATACATATGGTTTTCTCCTTCTATTGGCATTTCCCATGTCCCCGGAACTTGTTCTGGGGCCTGAGGAAGGCTGCGCCACGACACGAGGGCTGCTGGGAACCACAGCGATAGGCATGCGGCCTGGCGCCCAAGTGACAGGCAACCTTCTGTGGTGCAGTGGGTATGTTAGGGTCCCACACAAGTGACATTACGTCGCCCGAATCAAAGGGACAAGGGAGCTCCAAAACCGATGACTGAAAACTGGGTAGAATTAACCAGGGAGGCATGTAGTGAATCTCCTGGGCAAAGACACACACTTAGAGGTCCCTGCAAAGTTTAATAATGTATCTTGTACTTGAGTTTTATTGATTTTGAGACAGTTTTTTCTCAAAGACTGAGACACCAATAGACCACGGAGATGAACCTGTTTGCCCCAGTTTCTGGCCCACACAACAGGTTCTGGTGACGACTCAGCTCAGGTGGGGAAGCCAGGAGGTCTGGGGCCAAATCACAGCTCTGCCGCCTGCCAGTGCTATGGCCCAATGGGCATTGACTGCTGTTCGTTGGTACTGGATGGGAAATGGCAGCTACCTCAGTGTGTCACGGGGAGTGTGGGCAGCATGTGGGAGGGTCCCTCATACAGTCAAGAGTCCTTCTCCTGCCTGTAAGGAACTCTTTCCCCTTCCCCCGAGATGGCCTCTGTCTCAGCTCTGACACCTGCGAGAGTGTGGGCACCGTTTCCTGGACCACCTCCCACAACACACTTCACCCCTTTAGTCCCTTCAGGGAAGTCTGTCAGTAATTCACTAAAGTAACCGATTTAATATTCCGGTTGAGCAGATGGCTACTGGTTTTCATCCTTAACACTTAATCTGTTAGGGTCCAGGAGTGCCCTTGGGGATCAGTGATGGGCGCCTGCCTCCATGGGTTGTGAAAGAGCCACATCACTTATTAGGACTGTATTCCGGGTTAGGGTCCGAGGAAGACAAAGTGATGTGCGTGGAGACTTCTCTCTCCATCAGCCACCTTAATGTCAAGGAAAACTGCAGGTGTGCACCTGGTGGGTGAGGTGTCCTCTCGGCACATGCCCGTGGTTCCCACGA